CTTCCGAGGTTCCTTCCAGCCCTAATGTCTATGAAATCAAGCCAAAATGCAGCTAGCCTCATTAGGCTGTCATAGAAAAACGGGTTAAACATTTCTCAGGAACAGGCTGTGTCATGAGACTGCTAGTATATCTTCCTTATGATTAAGTCTTATGCATACACATAACTTTAAACACTTGAGTACTCCCTGGAAATCTATAGGACATCATTCAAAAGACTACTCACTTTCTGAAATTAAGCAGGTGGATTAATATTGCAGGATCAGGAATAAGCATTAGTCCTCCAGCTAAAAACTGTGAAAAAGAAAGGATAAGCTGCTGCAAAGTAAAAGGGGCAATGCTTTGAATGAGTGAAAGAGATATTAAAAGTCTTTTTATGTGGAGAACACATCTTGATCATTCCTTTGCTGACAGTGCTATGTTGTTTGTGCAAAGTGGCTTTTAAATGTGTTAAATAAATAAAAGATTTTTTTTCAATTATTTTAGAAGCTTTATTAATCTGTAATCTATGTCAGAAGAACAAGAAGAATTCCTGGTACACACATGAACTTCCTGAAACCTATAAAATGAAGTTTTAAGAGAAGAATGACGCATTCTCTAACCACAAAGGTAAACTGCCCCTAACTGGTCAGGGAGCAAAAAATCTAGCTTTGTTAAATATAGTACAGTGGTTCTCAACCACCTGACTTGAAGTATCCCTCACTAGACTGAAGTATCTCTGAGCCACAAAGAACCCCTCAGAAAATGCCAGCTCTTAGTTCTCACTCATTTTTTGCTTACAGAAAAATAACAGAGGAATTCTGTTTAAAGTACTCAGAAATGGATTCCTATTTGAAAGCTTTGGGCTTGTCTTGGGAATCATATTTGCACACCTAGCAACACTATCATTGTGTGGCACCCCGTAGCACCCTTGAACGAATCTCAAGGCACATCAGGGTGCCACAGAACCCTGCTTGAGAATCGCTGATAGGATTTTTTCAGAAAAATAGGGCTGTTTTTCCCCTCTTATTTCCTAAGCAGGTATTGAAAATAAAGTATATAAATAAATTCATTCAGGCCCTGATGTCCAATGAGACTTCTTTAGTAGTTAAAGTTTTGCGAGGCTTATTCCATAGATAAGACATTTGCTTATACATAGAATTGAAAAATCCCGTCTGTTTTACTTAAAGTCATGGGATCATTGGAAAGTAGGACTGGAAGGGACCTCACAAGCTCATCTAGTTCAGCCCCCTGCTCAGGATTTGAATTTTAATAATTATTAATATTTTTCTTGATTTTTAATTATTTCACTAATAAACCCTCACATTTCCCAGGCCAAATGAAAACTAATCACTGGACTTGAGCCCTTGTTTCAGATTTATCTTAATGATTTCTGTTTAATCACAGACCCCTCCTCAGTCATTCAGATTTGGTGATGAGATCTGAAAACCAGTATCCAGAGGATGGCTATTAGAACCACCCCAAGTCAATTCACACTTTTAGAGGGCAGTGCTTCCTACTGTTAACAGCCGTAAAGGCTAAGTACAGACAGTCAAAAAGCCCAAGGCTGAATTGATTCAAGCTCCGCAGGTTAGTCTAAGTTGCATAGGTTGAAACAGTAAGCAAGTGAACAGATGTTCACTTTCAATTCCAGAAATGAAGCCACACACCAGCAGTGGCCCAAGCCAGAAGCTGAGGACAGCTAGAGCATCCCTCCTTGCCCGGCTGGAACAGACAGCTTGGGCAATGACTAGCCCACCCACCCTGTGACCAGGAGTTTTCTGGAGCTGTGCAAAGATTCTGGGGTGCTGAGGGACTGTGAGTTAACTTGACTACAGAGGGGATCTGGGAAAGTTCAATAAACTGATTTAACTTAAATCTGATACTATGTCTACCCAGGTTTACTTTAAACCAGTTTCAGGCATTTTGAAAGTGGTTTATGTGCACTGAAGTTCTGGTGTATTACAGATTTGAACCAGTTTCCTAATACCAGTTTATGCGTAATTTCTGTCCCTAGCCAAAGTGACTGTTAACTTCCTATCAACAGACTGCCAGTTGTTGAACTTGATAGCTTGACAGAAGGGGTAGGTACAGACACTCAAAAAGTCTGAGGCTGAATTGATTCAGTCTTTGCAAGTCAGTCTAAGGTGCACTGATTTAATTGAAACAGAGGTGAACTGATATTTACCTTTCATTCAGGAAATACAGCCACATGCCTGCAGTAGCTCAGGCCACAAGGTAGCAGCAGCTAGAGCAGACTATCTGGCTGTGTGTTCACTTCCTCTTCCTACTGCCCCTGAGGTCTCTGGGATTTGCAGTCTAGAAATACAGTAGCAGGACTCTGCAGGGTTCTCATCACTTCTTCCTGCTTCCAGGTTCCTCTGGGATTTGTAGATTTCCTGACTCCCATGCTAAAAAATAAAAACAAAGCACACTTTTGACTGAGGCCATTGATTCTGTTGCTAGTAAAGACAAAGGATGTGTTTCTTTGCTCTTGCTGCCTGAATAGGATGAAAGAATTACTGTAAACAATATATCCTTATCTTTTTTCAGTGCTGTCTTAGGCAGTGACTCCTGGGTCTCTATGAACCCTGCTGGGAAAAAGCAGAAGTTTGAAACTATCAAAGACATTAACCTGGGGCAAGGAGGCCACTGGTTTCCACCAATCCCCACTCAAAAAACTAAAAGACTGAAAAAGCACCAATGTTAGTGATGGTATGACACAAGTTTTTCTGGTCCCCATGGAACAAAACCTGTAGTGCCTTACTTGCTGCCAATAAATGTTTCCCGTGCAAACTGAACTCTGCACTATTCCCATGCAACCAGCAAGCTTTCCCTATCTATTCAACATGTGAAGCCAAGAGTGTCAATTACAATAGAAGCTTTGAAGATACAGACACTAAACTGAGACCAGTCTCAGGCCAAGACCAAAGCTCATTTCACAAAAGCCAGAAAGACCTCTCAGAGTGTCTCTGCTTTCAGTCACCAATCTATTGGTGGCCTTGAGGCCAAAGATTCCCTCTCTCATTCAGACTCCCCCAACCAGAAAGCTTAATTTCAAGTCCTGGTTACTTCTGTAGAGAGTTTCGTGGCCTAAGGAAATCTGGGGGGGGGTCCTTATTCAAATTACAAATGTAACATGAAAATGTGTTTTTCCCCAAGCAGTCTAATAGCAAACACAGGCAAAACAAGAGAAGAGACCTGTTCTTGGCAGACTGATCCCACCTGTCAGCCTTCAAAGTTATCAGTGAATTATAGAAGTCATTAAAATGACCAGCATAAAGAATGACTTTATTATGCTTCATAACCATTACAACTTGTCATTAATGATGTATATATAAAATAGCTAAATATTTATTACGTAACTATAAAACCTGATTTTCTGGAGATATCATCATTGCATATATGAACTTAACTCAGGGGTAAGCAACCCCCAGCACACGTGCCATACTCTGGCATGAAATGACATTTTGTTTGGCACTCATGCCTCAGGGAGGATGGCAAGGGAGCAATCCTTGTCATTGTGGTGCAACCCCAGTCCCTTCCCTGCCACCCACTTTGGCTGTGAGCCAAGCAGAGGTTCTGCGGACCCCAGTGCAGCTGCTTGCAGCCTCCCTGCTGCATGCTACAAGCAACCCGGTCTTCAAGGCAGGCATCAGGGGCTTGTCCAAATCCTAAGCCAGCTGTGTCAGGCAGCTGGGAGACTGCAAGTGGCTGCACCAGGGTCCATGCCTGGTTCATTGCTGACAGTACGTACACACATGCCTCAGGGCAGATGATAGGAAAGGGCATGGGGCTGCACAGCCACAACAAGGACCAAGCCCCTGGTGGCTCTCCTGCCATCCACCACTGGCATACCATCACCTTACAAATTGAGGTTACAGATGTTTTTGGCACTCTGCCCAAAAAATGTTGCCAGCCCCTGCCTTAACTAGTTTTTCAATTTGGAACAAGCTGCTTTCCACTAACATATTGCACAGTGTGACACTGATTTACCTAAGCATATTACATCCATTTTGAAATGTAGCATGAATGGAGTGGATGTACTGTGCCTCACTGTAATGCTCCAAGTGCAGGTCTTTTAACAGTATAGATGTGCCTTCTAAGTCAAGTCCAGTCTCTGCTATTGCAGACAATCACTTTATAAAATCTCTTTCACTAAGTAATCAGGCTCCATTTCAATATTACATATGTTTCTTGCTCCAACTCCTGAGACTAGTATATTGTTCCATGACCTTGCTCCTCCGATGTTTCAGAAATTTCTGAACATCATGTTTCTGATGCGAATAGTTTCAGAAATCAACATTTAAACTAACTCCAAAATCCATATTTAGGCACCTAACTAAATGATTTTCAAAATGTTAAGCAACCATCTAAGCCAAGCTCTTCTAGTAACACATTCATCCAAGAAAATAAAAGGAGAATGGTGCCAGAACTGAAACCAACTTAAATTTCTGACTATTCATATTGCACTGGGGGACCAGCAGATCTGATATCTGCCTTGTTCATTTTTTCTCCAACTGTCTAGAAAGCTCTATCTTAATATAATCTTGCATTTGAAATATAATATGAATCTGGTTAGTTTGGTCCAAAGTAAGTGTCAAAACTGATTTTACAATAAAATGATTCAATGTTAATTAACTAGGGTTAAGTGGTAGTGCTTGAGTGATATTGTAGGTGTGATGGTCCAGGAAATATGTGACAAACTTTTAAGTTTATCCCAATCATGCAGCTGGTCCAATAAAATATATCACTGACAAAATCCTTGCCTCTCGTATAAAAAGGAGTAAGTTTTTCTTCACATGTGTTTTGCTACCAAATGTCCAATGGTAAGTTTTCAATAGATAGGAACAGTCCATTGAAACAGCTATCACAGGCACTAGGAAAATAAAGTGCAGCCAGGATTAAACAGGAACTCCCTTAAATGCTCCTAATAATAATATTAGAAACAGTTCAACTGATAATCTTAATGGACTTTCTGTTAGATAAATCATAGTTTCAAACTATTTTAATTGTACTCATTCATAGCTTGTGATGACTCAGTAATAAAGAAATCAAACTCCCATCTGTGCTGCAACTAGAGCTATATAAACTTTAGAAGGTTTGTTGATACTCATCCCTATGCCTTAAATTCAACCTAGACAAAATGTCTTAAATTCAACCAGTGACAACATAAAAAGTCATCACAAACTTTCAAATATTATTTCTCTTCTATTCAAAATGAGGTTCACTCAAAACATTGATGATGTTCACTCAAAAGTCTTTCTATATTGGCTGAATTTTCAGAAAACTTTTTCAATTTTTAAACTACTTCCATACAGATTAAGATAACAAAACTCTTTGTAACAGGGCACTGGCCCCGGACTCTGTTACAGTCTGGGCATGCCTGCCAAAATGGAGCCCTCCCAGGGAATTACTTGGGGCCAGGGGCACTGCAGCGTGCACGAGCAAGCCACAGCGATGTATCCCCATGTGGCCGGTGGAAGCAGAAGAGGCCAGTCAGAATACGACCCACCACAGGTGGTGGGAGCTGGCATCCACTGTTCTCTAGTGTTCTGCTGGAAGTTAAAGGAGACAACCAGCAGAGTGGAATCCTTTGGTGAAGGGAAGACACAGGGAGCAGTACTGGAGCCAGAGCCAGCACAGAACCTGGGATCAGGGCTCAGTCGGAGCCCTGGAACACAAGAGGCTGGCAAATTCAAGGGAGAGACTAGAGATCCCTGACAAGGGGAAATCAGAGCTGGCCTGGACTATAAGTAATAAAAATCCATTGACTACTAGGGCAAGGAAAAGAAAGCCAGTGGGAGAGAGACAGAAAGAGAGGAAGAAAGAGTCAGACCTGGGAGCGACCTGAGAGTGATGGTAGGTGGGACCAGGAATAGATGAAGGCAGATTTACATAGATGGGTAGGAAAGACCTGAGGGAAAAGGAAAGAAATAAAGGAAGCAACCCAAGAACCATGCCTTAGGTACTTACGCTGACATTTAGTGGTGTGGGTGACCACAACCAACCAGACTGGGAAAACCAGATGTTGGCAGGTGAAGCAAATTCCTCTCCAGCTGAGTGAGACAAACTGACCTAAATTGGAAAAATCCCAGGGTGAACATAAAGCAAGGGGGTTTCCATCCCCACTGGGAGCAAGGCTGGACACTTGAAGCTGGTGGGTCAGAAGAGGGCTAGGGCTGTAACTGACCCCTAGTTTGACACACCTGGGATTTGGCTATCAGCCAAAATACCAGCAAGGTGTGGAACAGGACAGGATGTAGGGATAGAGGAGCCCTGTGAAGAGCATAGCCAACCTAGAGCGACATAATTGATTACTGGTAACATTCTATCTCCCTCCTTTCTTATTATTACAACATCAAGGCATGGCAGGTGAGGAAAGAGAGGACCAATGGTCCTCCTCCGCAAGAAGGAGAAACATTATCAAGAGAGACATTCTGCTTACACTCTTACACAGGTCTAGCAACAACCAGCTCATATGGAAGAGATCTACTTCATTGACCACAATAATTTAATTTAAATATTGCATCAATATTGCATAATTTAAATAATGCATGAACTCATGTAAGAAACTGACACTTTACTTCCTCACCTCAGTCACAAAGCCAAGTTTAGGTTTTCAAAAAGGTTAATACTA